TCTGTCTGGAGTTGTGCGTGTCATGTTTGTGTGTGTGTTTTGTGCGTGTTGTGCAGTGACAGTTAGAGCCGTGGTCTTTAAATGTGTCACCTCTGCTCGCATGACGGGCTCTGAACAAAACAGACTTCACCTTTTACACAAAGCCTGTGTGTAAACACATGCACAAGTGCTCTGAGTTCAACCGCGCAGCCTCTGGGGATAGAAATACATAAACATCAAAGTAACAGCTGATTTCTGTGCAATTGCCCTTCACTGGAAAAAAAACAACATCTAACTAAATTAACATGGCTTAAATTAGGAACATTTGACTTTATTTGAGGTGATTCAACTTGACAAGTCAAATATTTACTAATGGAATAAGTGTGTTTGTCTTAATTCAAGCAACATTAGGTTTTGTTTCTTATTTTAAGTGCAAAAAGTTGTTGTTTTTCTTATTTTAAGTGTAGCAAGATGTATTTTTATATTTTCAATACAAGTAGTAGTAGATTTTATTTTTTAAAGTGTGATAAAACATAAGAAAAAATATTCAATATTAGGGAAGGTTATTGGCCTAATAAATAATAAATAAGCTATGACAGGACCTGACTTGCCTCTCCATAGATCTAACTTGTCCATGGTAGTTGCACCTGCGTAGTTTATTATCATAGGAACATTCCAGGAAACACGACAATAGATTCATAGAAAAGCAGTAAAATGTTACATACAGTAGTACACCTTAGTATTATTAGTAATATTTTATTGTATTACATTGTTCTCCTTGGTCTAACTTTAACTGTAGTCACGTTTTAGAGGCTAAAGGTTACTGGGCCTCACCTACAGCTGCTTAAACACACACGCTAATAGTTTTCAACATGTCCAAACAAGATTACTGAAAAGAGGAGCTGTTGTGGATCATGTAGTAATAAACCAGGCCAAACCAACCCTGTCTTGTTTTTACTGTGTTGACCTAATTCGCATTTTGTCCGGCACTTCCCTTATTGACTGTGCTGTGTGTGATTATGCAGCACATCTCAGCTCTAGGGACGCGCCGCCATCTTTGTGTTAGTGCAAAACTCAGCACTTAATCCTCTTTATACAACACAACTCCCGTGCTAATCTAAAGTGCATCAACTTAACTTTGAGACAACAGCAAAGTGGGAAGCATGTCTGTCTCTCTTTGCGCAAATGCTTGGGGCAAATCCATTATATATTGTATTTCTACTACTAGTACTACCTTCTAATAGAAAAAAGTCTACAGTCCAGACAATTTAATGAATCTAACTGTGTTAAGAAAATGATAAAACATTTTGGACATAGGACCTAATTTCCTAGTGAGCCAGAGTGTTGGAGACACGTGGAGACACTTTTTGAAATATTTCATCCTGTCCTTGTATTTGCAGAGGTCGCTGGTGCTAGGCTAGTGCATGTCAATGGCAATAGTTCTCCTGTCACTAAAAACACTCCACAAAACACCCGAAGCAAAACAATTATTACACCAGACTGTGCACATGAATGTCTGTGATGACAGAAAAATGTTTGAAATAAAACTAACCTTGCATTGCATGAATCGTCGCATGTTGAGGGACTATTTTCTCATATATCGATCCGCCACTGCTGAGCTTTCTATCAGGAAGTACAACTCACTGCTGCTGCTCAGACATAAATCCTTCAAATTCAAGGTTGCTTTTACTTCTAAAATTATTCTATCAACACAGACATTCACATCTGCAGTCTGGCGTTATAATAGGTTTGCTTTGGGTGATTTGTGGAGTGGGTAAGACTGTTTTTAGTGGCAGGCTAACTATGTCCATTAGTTAGCCTGCTAACTAGGAAATGAGGTTATATGTTCAAAATTCTGAATTCTGTGCAGTTAAGTTTTTACTAAAGTTTCTCACTAAAGTATTCAAATGAAGCTTTGGGTGTATTCTTTAAGCAGCAGGGTGGCCAAAACTAAATATCGCAGGTATTTTGGAGTTTTATAGCGGATAGCTGCTTCATTAAAAAGTCCTAATATCAGCCCGATATATCACCAGTATCTGCAGTGTATCTCTAGACTGTAGTTATCCAGTAAAGCTCGAAATTTTAAAAAGATCCAAATTAAGAGTCAACTAAAAACACGTCATTATAATGAGTTCTTAAAACATGAGAGAAAACTGCATTTTTTCTACTGAAATAGATAAAATGCCATACTGTGGAACTTTCCAGGTGAGGCAATAACATGGAGAGAACCAGGTGCGCCATTAACACATTTCATTTTGCCATTGACACATTTTGATTGGGCAAGTCTCAGAACAACATATTCTTAATTAAAACAGCGTTGCCATGGTTACTTAATATCCCTATACCACCTTTCTTGTTTGTGGTGACCCTCTTAATGCTGCTTGCAGACTGTACTGAAAAGCGTAAACAACTCATTTGACCTTTCACCCACTCTAGGGTCCTCCCAGGCGGCCGAGTCCAGTTCTGCTGCAGGCTTCCTTATTGTGACATCATCATTTCCTGGTCTCAAACCCCACTTCCCCATTTCTTTCTAATCCTAGTTCGCCTCATTAAAGTACACAAGCAGGGTCGATGCAGTTAAAGTACTCCAGTGAGTACTCAAATAAAAAAGTACATGTTGTTTATCAGAGAAAGAGTCGTGACCCCTGTTGCTAAGGTGAGCGCCCCTCCTCTCTCCACTTGTGAAATGGCTTAGTCAGGTTTTGTTTTTTCCAATAGCTTAAACTAAAAACAAGTCAGAGAGAGGGAGGAGGGAAGGAGAGAAGGAGGGATAGACAGGGGAGAGGGTGTGTGAGAGAGAGTGGAGTGGAGAAAGGGGGAAAAGAGAGAGAGAAGTGAGAATGAAATAAGGGAAGGGAGAAAGAGACATGGATGAGGATAGAGAAATATGAGGTGAGACAAGAGAGAAAGGAGGTGTAAGAGAGAAAAGAGATAGAGGAGGGAGTGAGAGAGAGGAAGGGGGAAAGTGGGAGAAAGAGAAGAGAGGAAAGAAATAACTGTAGAAAGAGAGAGGAGAAAAAGGGATACAGAGAGAGGGTGAGGAAGAGATAAGATAGGAAAGTGAGAGAGAGTATGAGGAGATGAAAATGGAAAAACGAGAGCTGAGAAGAGGAGGAGAGATATAAGAGGAGAAGGTGAGGGATAGGGATAGAGGAGAGAGAGAAAAGATAGAGAGAGAACAAATTGAAAGACAAAAAAGAGAGACAGAAGGAGTAAAGTAAATGAGAGAGAAGAGACAGAGAGAGAGACAGAGAAAAGAGAGGATTGGGGTTAACAGAGAAAGAAAGATGCAGAAGAGTAGGGAGAGATAGAGAGGAGAGGAAAGAGAGGAGAGGTAAAGGACTGGAGAAAAAGACATAACTGTAGAGACAGAAAAAAGAGAAAGGTAGAGGGTGAGAAAGAGATGGATGGAAAAAGAAGAGAGATAGGGGAAAGAGAGAGATAAGAAGAGAAGGTCAGAGATAGGGGTAGAGGAGAGAAAGGAAAGAGTTAGTGTGAACAAAGAGAGAACGAAGTGAGAGACAAAAAAAAAGGAAAAGGAAAGAGAGATAAAAGGGGAAAAGATTGGAAAGAAGAAAAAAGACATAGCTGTAGAGATAGAAAGAGAGAGCGGAGAAAAGAGAGAAAGGTAGAGGGTGAGAAAGAGATAGTGAGAGAGAGGATGAGGAGATGAAGATGGAAAAAGAGAAATGAGAGGAGGAGAGAGATAAGGGGAGAAGGTGAGAGATAGGGGTAGAGGAGAGAGAGAAAGCAAAGTGAGAGACAAAATAGAATAGGAAATAGAGAGATGAGAGAGAGAGAGAACCTGGAGATAGATCTACAGAGAGAGAGAGACAGAAGGAGTAAAGTGAATGAGAGAGGAGAAACAAAGAGAGAGAGAAAACATAAAGAGAGTAGAGAAACAAAAAGAACAGGAAACAGAGAGATGGGAGAGAGAGAGAGAGAACCTGGAGATAGATATACAGAGAGAGAGAGAGAGACAGAAGGAGTAAAGTGAACAAGAGAAGAGAGACACACAGAGAGAGAAAACATAGAGAGAGTAGAGAGACAAAAATAAGAGGAAACAGAGATGGGAGAGAAAGAAACAGAGAGAGAGAGAGACAACCCAGAGATAGATATGTAGAGAAAGAGCGACAGGAGAGGTAAAATGATTGACAGAGGGGAAGCAAAGAGAGAGAGAAAGAGAAAAGATAGGGGGCATAGAGATTGAGACAAAAGAGAACAGGAAACAGAGAGATGAGACAAAGAAATAGAGAGAGAGAAAACCTAGAGACCATAGGAGTAAATCGAACAAGAGAGGAGAGACAAAAAAGGAGAGGAGCAGGATGAACAGAAAAAGATGCAGAAGGGATGAGAGGGATAAAGAGAAGAGGAAAGAAAAGAAAGGTAGATGAGAAATAGAGAGAGAGAAGGAAGAGCACTGAGTTCACAGGAGGGATATTTCCTAACTGTTTACAAGTCTCAGCCTGTGCCTCACACTGATACAGAGAAGCGGAGCGTGCAGCTTTAGTCGGTTCTATTTCTGGATCCGGAGAGTTCCCCCTCACGTGTTTATGAGTTTGTCTGACCTTCTGAAAAGCCATCAAATGTGTCAGCATAATGGAACTTTCAGATTGGACAGTGACACATGTAGGTCTATTTTCATTTGGACTCAACAGTGCAGATTAGGAGACAACTGCTGGCTTTGCAGAAATAAAAACATGTTTACAGATTCTAGTTTAGTGGATAAGATTAAACTACTCTGAACTATGGATTGATTCACAGAAGAACTACCTGATTGCACGTTTTTCACTGGCTTTTAAAGAGGCTTTTTTAGCATGTTGTTTTCTGATCTTATATTGTTGTTTCATCATCACAAACAGACTTGGAAGTTGTGTTTTGTTTCATTCACACAAACCCTTTATATTTAGGCTGAGTTCTCTCAAACTGTTCCACCTTGTGTTTTCATGTAGTAATGCTCCATACACCTTCACTAGAATCATTCAGATCATTTCAAATTGTTTTCTTGCGTCTTTTTATAGGAAACAGTTCGAGTATGAACATGTCCAACTCTTCAGACCCCCAGTCTTCGTCGGCAGAGGAAGAGGAGTATCTGGAAGTGAACGGGTGGCAGATCTGTAAAGACCAGGATGAGATGCTGAACCTGGCCTTCACCATCGGCTCCTTCCTCCTGTCGGCCATCACTCTGCCCATGGGCATCATCATGGACAAGTATGGCCCCCGCAAACTCCGACTGGCTGGCAGGTGAGTGAATAACACTCTGCACTACACTACACTACATTACAGTACACTACAGTATACTACCACTACAGTACACTACAGTATTCTACCACTACAGTACACTACAGTATTCTACCACTACAGTACACTACAGTATTCTACCACTACAGTACACTACAGTATACTACCACTACAGTACACTACAGTACACTATAGTACATTAGCACATCTGTAGTGTTGGGAAGTAACTAAATACATGTACCGAAAATGCTTATTCTGAATATGTATTATTTTCATATAACTGTATTCCGGTACACTTACTTTTTTATTTGGTGGTATTCATAATAAAATGACTTTTCTAAATTAAAAAGAATACATGGCTATAATTAATTGAGCAATTTTGGCTTTGGACTGCTCTTGTAATATGTGTGGGTAATGATTAGCAATACAGTAAGTTATTGCAAAACAAAACAATCAAGCTGTTTATGAATTACTCATCATTGCAGTTTTTTATCAGGCAGGTTTTTTTTTACATGCAACTCGGCGTTGCATTGTACTGTATTCAGAACACAGTACTCTGATTGGACCATGTGTCAAAATATGTTACAAAATACATTTTAATTTGGTTATTCAGTATTTTGTAACTAAATACATTTGTATATTTTTTTATTCTTTGTGTTCTTCCCATCACTTCATATATGTAGTAAAGTCTTGTGAAGAGAAAGAGTGTATAACTGTTGATTCTGTGTGTCCACAGCGCCTGCTTTGCCTTCTCCTGCCTCCTCATCGCCTATGGAGCCAGTGATCCTAACAGTAAGAACAAAATACACTTTGTCTACTTGAAAACATAATTTTAACATATATTTCTAAGATATAGTAACTTAGGGAAAATAATAATAGCAATATTGGGACAACAGTTGCTGCAGTTGAATGGTGTTCAAGGTCAAGCTTGACATTGACCTTGAACCTTGACCTTGACACACAACATTGAAGCTGCTTTGATGTCACATGTCTAAATCGATACTTTTAAGTCACAAAAAAGAAACATTTTATGTAGCATGATTTCACATTTATTTCTTTTTCCTCCAGGTCTGTCCATCCTCATCTTCTTCGCTTTGGCCATGAATGGGTTTGGAGGGATGTGCATGACCTTCACTTCTCTCACAGTAAGCTACAGAACTTTTTTATATTACATTTGAAAATGAAAAACCAAAGACACAGTTTTGATGGCACCAAAGACAGTGACAAGCACAATGTAACGAGATGGAGCGAGGCCCTGAGTACAAATCATCTTGGTTGTTACATGTTCATATTCTCTATATGAAAATAGCATATTACAGATTTTGTAAAGGGCCTCTCCCTGCTCCGGGCACTGTGTAAATAGTACATTTTATCCTCCAAGTCTGATCCTTCTTGATCAGACATAAGATCAATCTCATCTCAGACAAAAGTGCTGAATCATGAGAGTGTGCTGGAACTATAGAGTGTACATATAAATGAACACAGCTAAACCGCCAAGCACCGTATTCCAAATTGTGAGCTTCATTTGACTGGAGCTGAACTCTGTGGGTGACATCACACTCGCTTAGTCTACTTCTTTATACAGTTTATGGCTGGAACAGACAGAGACACAGACACAAGGCAGGAGCATCAGGCGGTCTGGGTGGTACTGATGCATTATTCACTGGTGTCAGGCCCTTAAAAAGACATGAGCTCTTCACTGTTACATCCACATAAGGCTGAGGACAGAGCAGGGCTTTTCTCACACACGTGGAGCAGTTGTGTAACAGTCTGACGTTATGGGTTAAAAGGGTAAAATGCAAAGTCACATATGAAAAAAAGCACTGAATTTTGACATGTTTAGACACAGCATTTTTACGTGTTTCGCATTGAGAAAAAAAAAAACAAAAAACTGAATGTGCATATGGCAAAGGAGTTACAAGATGAGGAATGATTCAAGGTGCATAATGCAACTTTCCTGGTGCCGTGTCATTGGTTTGCTTCAATGTTCCATAGTGTAGCATTAAATGTGTGTGTCTCCATGAAAACAAAACAGTAATGATGCCAAAGCCAGACTGTTCTCTTTAAGGAAAATGAATTCTTTTAATGTCAGTAATGTTCTTTATGACCTATTTTTATAAGTTTCATTGAATCTATTCTTGCATTTTGTATTGTCTGTCAGTTCGGTGTCCTCTCTATGTCTAGTAGAAATCGTCTGGCTCTTTTGGTCAAAGTGACAGGTAAAATTGTCGGCTTACAGCAGTCCCAGCTACAGGGCATCTACCAGGGGTTTGCAAAAATATTGAAATATCGATATATCGTATCATTTGTTGTGATGATACAGTATCAATATTGTGGACTCCTGTATCGATATATCTCCAAGAGTATTTTTGGTATATTTTACTGAATTATTTTGTCACAGAGCTACAGTTCTGTTGCTTGTTTAGAGGAAGGAAACTCGTTTAAGCGACACATTTGACATTTTCACTGTTTTGATGATTAAAATGGGTGTGTTTCATTTGAACTTTGCACAAGAAGTGGTTTAACAAATACTTTTAGTGTCACATGCACAATTTAGACTTTATTTTTTATTGAACCGTATCAAATCGATTTGAAATATATTGTATCAAATCAAAAGTGCACTGTATCGAGATATGTATCGTATCGTGGCCTATGCATCGAGGTATGCATCGTATCTGTAACGTCTTAATGATACCCAGCCCTAACATCTACAACAGAAGGGTGATTTGCAAGGCCCAACAAATAATTGAGAGCCCTAATCACCCACTCTTTGAGGAGTTTAAGCTCCTTCCTTCTAGGCAGCGTCTGAGAATGTCTGAGATCAGAACTCAGAGAACTTAGACTTCCTTTATTTCTGAAGCCATAACTAGGATGAATGCTCTCTTACAGCTTGGATCAGTCATGGTGAAATGCGGTTACATCTCCTGGTCTTCTTTTTTTCCCCTATTTTTAAAGGAATGTATATCTACTGTATGTCTGACACTGCTGCACAACAGTTCCCCTCTGGGACAATAATACAGTTGAAAGTTGAAGTTGAAAGTTGAATGCATGCTTTTCAAGGTAACTGAACAAATGCAAGATAGATAAGTTTAATGTCATACTATGGAACAATGTAAAGCTCTAACATCTCAGATAAAAGACCCAGCACCAGGAAAATTACATTGTGCATCTTTAAATCTTTCTTTATGTTAATATAATAATAAATGTTACACAACATATGGAGAAAATATATGACGTTAAACTCAAATACATCATTATAGTTACATAAGGCGAGTCAGCAGACACGTTTTACATTGCAGTCTTGGGGGCATGTTTTATTAATGTTGGGAAAAAGTACAATCAAAGCTTCCTCTGCTGTACAACTTCCGTGCATTTGAAATTTGCGATGCCATTCATATTTCATCTCCACTATTTGGTGATCACAAACACTACAGTCGTCTCCATATTTAATTCATAATGTGGTTTTCTACGCCTTAAGTTCATGTTATGCACGTCAGCTCTCAAGACATAAACAGGAAGCGCAGACAGAGAATCTGAGATGCGTCTTTGTATTTCCCCACACACAGACCCTGAATGCCTCACTCCCACAGTCCCACACACACACAAATGCAGTTGTTGTTCAGCTCGTTTACCCCAATCACCACAAAGAACCAGAAGAAGTAGAAGAAAAGATGAAATACTCAAAACATTTTATCTGCTACTTCACACAAAACTCATAACTATGTAAATAAGGGCCCATATTATGCTATTTTCATATCTGTTATAATGTTGTTTTCTCATCAAACACTTACCAGGAGTTTTGTTTTGTTTTATTTACACAAAAGCTGAGTTCTTCTGTCGAACGGAAAGCACCGTTCCACCTTGTGATGTTATGCTGCAATACAGGAAGTGCCCCACTGTGTTTTTAAACTCCATAGACCTTCACTAGAATCATTTGGATTTTTTAAGTCCTGGAATTTCCAATTTCTACTAAACAAAAGTTAAAAGGTGTTGAAAACTGCAACTACATGACATCACAAGGTGGAACAGAGCATTTTGAGCTTTGGAGATGTGGACAGACTAATAATGCAAGATTACCCAAACATGTGAACGAAACAAAACACAACTCCAAGGTTTGTTTTTGAAGATTCTAACATTCTAACAATGTTTAAATCTCACAAAAGTCAACTGTATGCAATGTAGGACCTTTCAGTACAAAGCAATGCAAGATCTAAAATGGTGCACCACTCTTTTCCATTTTAAAAAGAAGATGTTAAATGTTTAACTCTGGGCAGATACATGAATTATGATACTTAGTTTGTGCTATAGTACTTTGCTTACTGAGTTATTTGTTTCCTCTTGCTGTATTTGTGAATATGAACTGGTTTCAAAATGATGCTATGACAAAGGAATAGTTAGTTTTCTAGACATTACATATAGATAAATATAGATGCATTAATTTCTACAGCTAGAATAGTGAGGCTAGTGTTTAAAATTCCACTTGAAAATTCTTGGACAACTATTATGAAATACACATGAGTACCTTTTAATGCAAGTACACACAAACTGATGTAATAATATACTGTATGTTAATTTTAAATATTTAAAAGCACACAACCTTTCTGTTTCGTGTATGTAAACAGGTTCAAATTACAGATTGTTTTGACAGACTATTTGCTAAGAATTGACAAAAAATTTCATGATATAAAACTTTAATTATTATTTACCCATTATCCAATTCATAGTAGCACACACATTACAACCCAACCATTACCTTGAAGTAAAAGTATCTACAGTATACATATTTATTTTCCACCTCACGTCTAGACCTCCCCTCCTCCTCTTCCTCCTCTTCCTCCTCCTCCTCTTTCCCCCTTGAGTCTATGTTGTTTTTGTCTTCTCTAGTTTCAGTCGCCCGTGTGCTCTGGTTCATGTACAGTGACGTACAGTGTGCAGGTCTGTGTACACTGTGCGTTTAGCTGCGGACTGGGCCTTTAACCTGCTCCCAGGGCTTCATTAATGTTTCCTTCACTTTTGAGGTGTGTCCCTGTGAGGCAAACTGCTGCTCTGTCTCTGCTCAGGGCGCGCTAGTGAATTTTTAAACGTGCAGACACAGGTGAGGAAAGTAGTAAACGTTAACATAAAACTACAGTAAAGAGTATTGTCACTTCATAAAAACAGTGGCATAGTAGTAGTATTCATAGAAAGAACTGCAAGGTTGCAACTTTCCTACATACGGAGAATTTGGATAGCCAGAATAAACCAGAAACTGCATTCAAGTAGTGCATAAAATACAAAACATACATAATGCAAAATAAGTAACGATGTAACAATAACCAAAATATCGTGATATCGTATCGTCAAAAGTCTCACAGTAATATCGTGGGCTGTCACAATATATCAAATTACAAAATGATTTGCTTAAATTTATTGTTTTATAGTAGCAATAGCTAATAAACATCAGAAACTACATATCCTGTGATTAATTTCAGCACAGAAAACATGAAGAAATATGTTTTTACTTGAATTCTTGGGAATATCACATTAATAATTCATATCAAAATCTCAAAAAGCAAAGAACTGTCCTATCTACAATTATAACAGCCTCTTCAAAATATCGCAATAAATATCATACCGTAAGATGCATATCGTGATAATATCATATCGAAAGATTTGGATATCGTTACATCCCTAAAAATAAGTAATATTCAACCAGAAAGTGCTCAACAATTTAAACATGTTTTTGTTAGTGTACTGTAGTAATATGTCAGTCACTATAAATACTAATAGGTTTTGGCTCCTTGTTTCATCTGTGCCATTTTGAGGACTCCTTACAATTCAAAAGATGGTACTCTTACTCTACTGTAGTAATACTAGTATGTATAGATTGAGGACTCGTCACTATTCAAAAAATATTATGTTTTGTTGTAACTCAATGCTATCCAAATCTCTCGGTACGATATTATCACGATATGCATCTCACAGTACAATATTTATTGCGATATTTTGAAGAGGCTAATATAATTCTCGATAGGACACTTCTTTTTTTGCTTTTAAAATACTTTGACAAGATTTTGGTGTGAATTATTACTGTCAGAATCTCAAGAATTCAGGTAAAAAACATTTTTTTATGTTGTCTGTGCTGAAATGAGTCATAGGATATGTA